AATTTTTTAATATTATTTTATTATATTAATATTTTAATCACCACTTGACATATCTGATCCCATGTTCTTGAAATCACCACAATTTTCTACCATTTAAGCTACCAAAATTTCTTATTTAGCTTTTCACATTTTATTTTTACTAATTAAATTTTCCATTCACATAAAATTATTACTATTAATATAAATATTTTTCATGGGTCTTACTATAAATATGCGAGAGAGGGTGTTTACTGTAAGATTATTTCAACGTATGTAATAAAAGTATGAGAGTTTAAAATTATAAATGATAAAATTTACTAAAAAGATTAGTTGGACATTTATATATAATTTTTTTATAAACCAAGTGACATGATATTTTTACTTAAAAAATGATTATGTATTTATATTTATATTTTAGAAAAGTTAGGTTTTATTTCATTATTATTATTATTATTATTATTATTATTATTATAAAAAATTTAAAAATAAAATCAAATATAAAATAAAAAAATGATTCTGAAAAATGAATTGATGGTAACAAACACCTGGTAATATTTAAGTGAATAAAGTTGGAGTTTGATAGAACGGAGAAAATGTTGAACGTGGAGGTGTTAGGCTTCCACATGGCGAAAATAGACCTTTTCAATTCATGGATGCGTAGCCGAAGAAAGTAGTTGGGGGGCAGTTGGGAAATGACGATGCAGTGTTCATTTCTTCTCTCTTTCTCTCTCACACACAGACACACACTTTCTCGCCAGAAGCCATGGGCAACACATCTTCCATGCTCACCCAATACGACATCGAAGAGGTTCAGCAACACTGCCAACACGCTTGTAACTAACTAACTACCTACCAATCCTTCAATTTTAATTTCATTTTCATTTTCATTTACTCGTCTTTGATTTTTCGCGTGTGCGTGTGTAGTTACGCAGCAGGAGATTGTTTCTCTGTACCAACGCTTCTGTCAACTCGATCGCAACAACTGCGGTTTCATCTCTTCTGATGAATTCCTCTCCATTCCCGAATTCGCCGTCAATCCTCTCTCTCAGGTCTCTCTTTCTCTCGATTCAATTTTCCATTCAATTCAATTGAGGTGTTCACATTGATAACATTGCAGAGTTTGTTGAGGATGCTGGACGGATTGAACTTCAAGGAATTCGTGGCTTTCTTATCTGCCTTCAGTCCCCGCGCCACTCTACACCAAAAAATTCTATGTAAGTTATTTTATCAAAATTATCAATTTATTTTCTCTTTGTTCAATCGAAGACAGATAAATCACATCATTGTTTTAATTTTTCTTTTTCATTTTGCAGTCATTTTCAAGTGGTATGATACCGATTGCAATGGAAAAGTGACCTTCCATGACATGCTCAGGGCTTTAAGGGATTTGTCAGGATCCTTCATGTCTGAGCAACAGAGAGAGGTCACTTTATTCTTTTGCTGCCTTTTGCTGATGCTGTTCGGTTTTTCTTTTCTTCTCTTCATATAGCACACTGCACTTTCTTGCTTGGTTTGTTTGACAAAAACTTGGTTTTACCAGTAATTACGAAGCTGCTTTCACTTTGAGTTGAATTTAGTTTTTATGCACTGACCTTAGAGTATAAAAAGTGCTTTACTACCAATTGCAAATTCTAATTGATATGACTTTTAAAATATTAGTAGGGAGTGTTGATTGAGTTATAAACTTTTCGGTGCCTGTTTTGCATTCTTATAAACACAAAAGTCTTTTTCATGTACAAATCAATAAATTTATTATATATTACCGTTTGTATATAAATAACACAGCAAAATGTCCCTAAAGATGCTATTTGCTCTTTTATTTTCCAGTGTTAAAGATTGTGCAGGAAATTAAAAAGAAAACGTGATACTTCTGTAATTATTTGTATTAATGTGTCGTGCAAATCATAGAGGTATTGGCCTTTCACGTTCTATAGTTATCTACCAAACCAATGTTTGTGTTCGATTATTATTCTGGTCCACATGACATCAGAGGAAACACATTACAGCTTACTTCTCACCTTTGTTCCTTTGAAATCAAGTTTTGGAATTGGATGGTTCAAGCAATTGAATTTAGAAGCACCGATAACAATATTCCTTGTATATAAAGTATGAGCCACATAAGCCGGAAACTAAGCAAAAGACAATAAGAGTTTCTTTGAAAGTTGTTATCTATTACAAGGCTCTCGACTTGTAGCTCTAATTGCACTTTTCATGCTTTTAAAATGAAAGGAGAAGAGTGTTTCCTAGCTTTCAAGTTGTATCTGTGAATATGTTACCAGGTGAAAAACATCTTTATCTTTTTTTATGAGAAACATAGAAGCACAATCCTTCATTAACCAAGTATTTATATGAGGTGTATCATCCATGTATGTTTTGTAACATCTCAGATTGCCAAATATATAAAAGGAGGATGTGATCTGCTTATAACAGCATCATGTATTCTCTTTCCTTTGTATATACAGGAAGTTCTGACACAGGTCCTTGAGGAAGCTGGCTATGCAAAGGATTCTTCATTAGTCTTGTCTGACTTCGTGAAGGTACTGAAATTTGCTTGACTTGCCTCTCTAGAAATCTGAAGTTTAGTTTATACAATCTTTTTAATAGGCAAGTACACGCTAAGAGATAGTGAGTTGAGTCTTCTATTATTTTTGGTGTTTCTCCTTCATATCTATTATGATTTTACCATTAACTTCAAAGATATACCAAAATTTGATTTTAACTGTGGTTAGGGCCTTAACATAGATGTGAAGAAGGAAATTAAGTAACAATGCAAAGATGAGTTTATAATGTCAAATGGGAGTTCTATTTTATTGATTTATACTGTAAATTAGAAGGCACAGTTGCCCATATGATGCATATATATTATCTTGCAGTGGTAAAGGTCTCTTACATCCAATATTTTAAACCAAAATAATATTTTCACTTGGTTCATAGGTCGCAATTAGCATAAAACTCATGATTGTTCCTTGGTTAGTGGATATTGCATTTTCATACTCATGACTGTCTAAGGGTCATACAACAGAGTTCTAGCTCATGATTGTTTGAGGGTCTTACACCCTCATACCCATTCTTGTTTTACACCGCGCATACTTAATAAAACTGCTCTTAGTTTGACATTTGTTACTGTGCTACCTTTCATATGGAAATGCTTGACCATCATCCCTTTTACTGACAGATTCTTGGCAATTCGGGTTTGAAGATGGAAGTAGAGATTCCGGTGGATTAGAGAGAGGATAGCACTATTGCCTTGTATAATATAAAAAAAAATAAAATAGCTATCATGAGTACTCTATGAGTTTGATATGGGAGCTTATTGGTTTTGGTATTTTGATCTTTATTGTAATGGGTAATAGATTATTTATTGAGTGTTTAATTACTCTGAAGCAAAATTATAGATGATACAATTTTTAACAAATGCTCTCAGGAAGCAGAATTGAATTTCTGCATGAAGTTTTTTAATGTTTGGAAATTTTATTTCGTTATGAACCACTTAGGTTTTTTAAATAAGTTCCTCTCTCAATTTATACATTAACTTTCAAGTTTCAAAATACTATTAAATTCTTTTTAATTTGGTATTGATACTAATGTAAGGGACAAAGGATTTTTATGACTTAATATTATTTTATGTTAACCATAAAACTTTATATTTTTTATACATGACAAGTGATCAAAATAATAAAATAATTAGCATAAAAAATTCTACCATAAATATTTAATTAAAAAATATAAAACGTTTAAATATTAAAAAAATAATTAATAAAATTCTAATTAAAAATAGAAATTTAAAATTTAATTAATTCTTCATTATATTACATGTGCAAAGTACACACTACACTTTCTTTATACTTTTTTTTCTATTTCTATTTTTTTAACAGTAACATATTTCAAGGGTTTCTATCTCTTAACTAGTATCTTTAAAATCCACGACACTAATTATATTTTTATCAATTATATCATTCACACAGTATTTAATTAGTTTATTTGTTACCACACAGAAATATAATTATATTTTTATCAATTATATCATTCACACAGTATTTAATTAGTTTATTTGTTACCACACAGAAATAAAAAGTAAAATAAGAAATCCTATATATACTTTATTAAAATAAAAAATATTGCATTTGCAAAAAACATCCTTAAAACACTTAAAAAAATACAGAATAAATTTTGTGGAAATTGAATCCACAATTACTCAAATCCTCCTCTCAAATAATAATAGCAGTTAAAGTTCATTTCAACCTTTATTACTGACCTAACCTTACTGCTCCTGTCTACGAGCAATGTCCTAGTTGAAAACATAATTCGCTCTCACTTCCAGGAGCTCTTAAAATAAGAACATAGTTAAAGCTACATAATTTTATATAGCTTCACAAGGATAGTTATTTTTATCAGTATGCGTTTAATGACAAATCATTAGCAAGTAGCTATAATATTTTATTAATTAAATACAAAGTAAATGCATTAAACATTTTAATATATACATATAAATTTATTATCAAATCAAATTACACTAGAAAGCGCAACGAAAGAAAATACTACAGCTTAAGATTATCCCATCTATCTAAAATTTGGCAAATGTTTACTACTGTTCATTCTCGTTCAGTGGTATTCTTACTATTATTTAGCTTTTTCTTTAATCTCCTTCACTCTTACTGTATATTATTCTTTTTCTTTTAACAAGTTGTCCTTCAATATTGACAAAAATCTCTTTTTCCTTCTTCACGGGACAATGCTGTTTTTGGCTTAATATATTTTTAGTCAAATAAGTAATAACACCAAATTATTTCTTATTATAACCTGGCTTGATAAAAAATATCAAATCATTTAAGAGAAATTTTTATAGAATCCATACATATGAGGGAAACACATTTGTTGTTATACACAAGAAGAAGCTCTTTCTTTTTTCATCGTCACTCATCAGTTGCTTGGGTTTGAAGGATCTGCAAGGCCTGGTAAATACTTCTGTCAATATAATTGACTCTGAAAAAATGCCAAACTATATATAGTGATTTCTGAAAAACAAAGAACAAAAAATATTGGTAATACGTCCTCGACCAGAAAATAAAAGTAAGTATATATTGATATTTATAAAATGAACAAAGTTGGTAAGATATTTATTTATTATAACTAAAAAAATGGATACTTATAAATTGAATATTCTAAAAAATGAACATTTTAGAAAAATTATCTTTAAATGTAATATAAATATTTAGAGAAAAAAACTAGTCATATATATATATAGTTATTGATTATTAAAAGATTAACCGTTTAAACATAATTTGTTTTGTGAGCTAATAATTTATAATATTATTCTTTGCCTTTTTAACGTGTTGTAGTTACATTGAACAACTAGATTTCATTAATCATACAAAGTTTATGATTTGTAAAGTTTAACCTATACGTATTGAAGAAAAACTTAGTTGTTGTATAACGGTGCTATACGGAATTAACATAAGAACAGTTTAACTAAGATCTTACTGTAATTGAATAATGATAGTAATTTATTATCAGATTTAGCTGTTAAAAGAAAAGCTTATTAAACATAAGAGTATAATTTAATGTAATAATAGTTGGTGAAATGGTTTTTATTTTAGCAGTGTATTAAATTTAACTGTTAAAATAGAAAGGAATGATTTTGTTTGATGCATGAGGAGGCAAGCAGGAAGCGCGTGTTGGAACATTTGATTATGCAAAACATCATCATAAGGTGGTCGTGGTGTGGCTCATTGTAGCCGTTGGAAAGCATGAAGAAACGACTTTTTGAAACACCAAACAGAAAATAAATAAATAAAGAAAGAATCGAAAAGAAGGGACTGCCTATGAAAAGAAAACAAGAAGGGACCTACGAGGAGACCATGGAACAACACAATGACGCGAAGACAAAAACGTTAATGAACCTCCATTTTGTCTGTAATGTAACTGTACATCATAAGGAAACTCACTCTCTGTTCTTTCCCATGGTATTATCATCTTAGGGTTCCTCTTTTTACTGCATCGTCTTCCTCTGCAAAACTCAAACAAACCCCCAAGACACACAGGTTTCATTCTTTTCTTTTTCTTCGGCCTTTCCTTTTCAATTTCCATACAAGAAACATAGGGTTTGGAAATAAATAAATATAATTCTTGGTGGATTTTGGTTTCNTATATCATTCACACAGTATTTAATTAGTTTATTTGTTACCACACAGAAATAAAAAGTAAAATAAGAAATCCTATATATACTTTATTAAAATAAAAAATATTGCATTTGCAAAAAACATCCTTAAAACACTTAAAAAAATACAGAATAAATTTTGTGGAAATTGAATCCACAATTACTCAAATCCTCCTCTCAAATAATAATAGCAGTTAAAGTTCATTTCAACCTTTATTACTGACCTAACCTTACTGCTCCTGTCTACGAGCAATGTCCTAGTTGAAAACATAATTCGCTCTCAGTATGCGTTTAATGACAAATCATTAGCAAGTAGCTATAATATTTTATTAATTAAATACAAAGTAAATGCATTAAACATTTTAATATATACATATAAATTTATTATCAAATCAAATTACACTAGAAAGCGCAACGAAAGAAAATACTACAGCTTAAGATTATCCCATCTATCTAAAATTTGGCAAATGTTTACTACTGTTCATTCTCGTTCAGTGGTATTCTTACTATTATTTAGCTTTTTCTTTAATCTCCTTCACTCTTACTGTATATTATTCTTTTTCTTTTAACAAGTTGTCCTTCAATATTGACAAAAATCTCTTTTTCCTTCTTCACGGGACAATGCTGTTTTTGGCTTAATATATTTTTAGTCAAATAAGTAATAACACCAAATTATTTCTTATTATAACCTGGCTTGATAAAAAATATCAAATCATTTAAGAGAAATTTTTATAGAATCCATACATATGAGGGAAACACATTTGTTGTTATACACAAGAAGAAGCTCTTTCTTTTTTCATCGTCACTCATCAGTTGCTTGGGTTTGAAGGATCCGCAAGGCCTGGTAAATACTTCTGTCAATATAATTGACTCTGAAAAAATGCCAAACTATATATAGTGATTTCTGAAAAACAAAGAACAAAAAATATTGGTAATACGTCCTCGACCAAGAAAATAAAAGTAAGTATATATTGATATTTATAAATGAACAAAGTTGGTAAGATATTTATTTATTATAACTAAAAAAATGGATACTTATAAATTGAATATTCTAAAAAATGAACATTTTAGAAAAATTATCTTTAAATGTAATATAAATATTTAGAGAAAAAAACTAGTCATATATATATATAGTTATTGATTATTAAAAGATTAACCGTTTAAACATAATTTGTTTTGTGAGCTAATAATTTATAATATTATTCTTTGCCTTTTTAACGTGTTGTAGTTACATTGAACAACTAGATTTCATTAATCATACAAAGTTTATGATTTGTAAAGTTTAACCTATACGTATTGAAGAAAAACTTAGTTGTTGTATAACGGTGCTATACGGAATTAACATAAGAACAGTTAACTAAGATCTTACTGTAATTGAATAATGATAGTAATTTATTATCAGATTTAGCGTTAAAAGAAAGCTTATTAAACATAAGAGTATAATTTAATGTAATAATAGTTGGTGAAATGGTTTTTATTTTAGCAGTGTATTAAATTTAACTGTTAAAATAGAAAGGAATGATTTTGTTTGATGCATGAGGAGGCAAGCAGGAAGCGCGTGTTGGAACATTTGATTATGCAAAACATCATCATAAGGTGGTCGTGGTGTGGCTCATTGTAGCCGTTGGAAAGCATGAAGAAACGACTTTTTGAAACACCAAACAGAAAATAAATAAAGAAAGAATCGAAAAGAAGGGACTGCCTATGAAAAGAAAACAAGAAGGGACCTACGAGGAGACCATGGAACAACACAATGACGCGAAGACAAAAACGTTAATGAACCTCCATTTTGTCTGTAATGTAACTGTACATCATAAGGAAACTCACTCTCTGTTCTTTCCCATGGTATTATCATCTTAGGGTTCCTCTTTTTACTGCATCGTCTTCCTCTGCAAAACTCAAACAAACCCCCAAGACACACAGGTTTCATTCTTTTCTTTTTCTTCGGCCTTTCCTTTTCAATTTCCATACAAGAAACATAGGGTTTGGAAATAAATAAATATAATTCTTGGTGGATTTTGGTTTCGGAATATATAAATATGTTAGAGAAGCGTGATGGTGATTTTTTGCGGTTGTGCAATATGTCCCTGTTTAAACCTCGCTTTCTCACGAATTATTTTCGAAAGAAAATATTGAAAGCTGCTATTGTTAAGGTTTTCTACTTTGTCTGGTTTTAGAGAGAATTAATATGCCTCAATTTGTTGAGATCGTAGGATATATAACCTTT